GGCGGTGGGGGGTCTGTGCAGAGGGGGGAACAGGTTGTGCGGGGGGTGGGGGTACCCCCTACCTGTTGCCCCCCCCGGCAGCCCGGGCAGGGCCGCGACAGAGGCGCTGGCAGCTCGGCCGAGGGCATCCGCGCTGGGTGCGCGGCTGCGGCGGGGCGGGTCCCTGCCAGCCTGCGGTGCCCGCGCCGCGCTGCGAGCGAGCGAGACCCCCCCGCAGCCCCCCGGGAAGTTCAGGGGTGCTGCGGGCATGCGGCAGCGCCCGCGCCGAGCTCACAGTGCCACGAGTGAAGAAGCGCTCTGCTGGCTGAGCTCGGGCTCGCCCGGAGCGTGGCCGTGCCCAGCAGCTGCCTGCAGCAGGTGGAGGAAAGCGGGCTCCAAAAATCCCCCTGGAAGGATTTTGGGGAGGGGGGGAAAGAGCCACCTGAGCGCTGTCACCACTGCAGCAGTACTAGTGCAAAAGCTCTTAACGGTGGCGGTTCACGTGGCACGAACCCAGGGTGAAAAATCGAGAATTATTGGTATCATCCATTCGCTGGCGACTGCTAGAGGGAGCGCGGATGTTTCCCTGTGCCTTATCCATCCCTCAGAGGGATCCACTTGTGTGTTTGCCAGGGCTGCAGCAAGCCTGCAGAGCTGCCACCCTGCCCATGGCAGCCGTGCAGATGGCTTCATCCTCACTGAAGTGAAATGATAGAATCACAGGGTGATTTGTGTTGGAAAGGACCTTAAAGATCGTCTCATTCCAGCACCCTGCCGTGGGCAGGGACACCTTCCACCACATCAGGTTGCTCCAAGCCCCGTAGACAGGGATGCTTTGGCTCACATGGCTACATACACATACCAACCCACTCCATCCTTGCATCCCAAATCTGCAGGCTGTGAGTTGTCACCTGAGCCACCTGTACCTGGAAAAGTTCACAAATGGGTTTAGGAACTGGGCAGGAGCCCCCATGGCAGTGGGGTGGGAGCCTCACAGAAACAGGAGTGATGTGGGAAGCACAGCAAGGAGCCAGGATGGTGAGCAAGGACTCTTGTTAAGGGGAAAGTCAGAGAAAATAATGAGTAAAGGGGGAGAAACAGCCCAGCACAATTTGCTAAACCCTCTGACATTTGCCTAAATTCAGGCTTTTGGCTGAACAAGCTGAGAATTTGGGGCAGTTCTTTGAACTTCAGGGTGTCCTTGTGCAGCACTGGCACTGCAGAGCCCTGATTCAAAATGCAGTAAAAAGGATAGAAAAGGGCTGCTGGTATGAGAGCTGCAGGGATGGCTCCAGGAGAGGCTGGACCTGAGGCAGAGCAGGAGCACATCACCATCCCACACACCCAGGGTTTGGTGTGCAGAGTCCCCAGGCAGCTTTTGGGGACAGAAATGGGGTAAATCTGCTGTGTCAGTCTGCTGAAAAACATCAACAAGAGCAGCCTGGATCCCCCAAAACCTCAGGTCTGATCTGGATGCTGGGTACAACCAGCTCTCCAAGAGTCAAAGGGACTGAGTCCTTGCCAAGTGGCATCTAGTCCTTACATCCATCTGGATCAATCCATCTGGATATTGTAAAACAGAGAAAATCTAGCATTTATTCCATTTATGTTCCATATATATTCCATTCCATTTATTCCATGAAATGGTACAGTGGCTTTGCAAGGGACACTTATTTCTGACAGAGTTTCCAGCAGTGTCTGCAACCCAAGCTGGGTGCTGGACCAGGGCACTCAGAATATCAGTGCAAAGGTCTGTCTTCCTTAATGAATTCCCAGAGGGCCAACAAACAGCCCACAAGGAGAATAAGTGCAATTTTTGAAATTCTTTTCCATCATCTCTACAGCCATCCCTGAATGAGATAAAGTTCTGTAAGTTTATAAAGCAACTGAATTCTAATCAAGATAAATGCCCAGTTTCATACCTAATTTGCATGAGTATGTGCTGCAAACTGTGTTTGCAAATGGGAGAATTATGTATGTAACCAGATAACCTGAGTGTGCAATCCCAGTACCGTATATGCAAAACTTACTCATTGCACTTGAATAAAAGTAAAGCTTCAGCAAAAAGGAACTTGGCTTTAAAGTACTGGCACTTTTTTTTTTTATAATAAAAAATCAGGTTAAAGCTGATTTGAGCCTTCCAAGAACCCATTTAGCTGCTAAGGCAAATTCCAAATGGTGTTTCTTACTCAATCTAACTTTAATAATAGACTGCTTGAGTTGCTGCACTGTCAGAACTGGAATTTTTTAAATTTACTGACAAAGAGAATTTCTCCATTAGCACGTGGTTATTTAAAAAATGTGTCCTAAAGTTGGCTGTGGCCTCATGGGTAAGTTAAAAACCTCACTCTAAAAACTTTCCTTACTACTTTCAAGACTTCCTGAAATCCCCTGCAGATATCTTGGAAGATTTTCTCCCCTTTCCCATGCCTCCTCCTGTCCTTACTGGGGAACAGCTGGATCCATTAAAATTGATTTCGGTCTCTCAGAGCAGGATTTGATTTCTCTGAGCTTCTTTCTGGAAGGAGCACAGAGTGTCCCAGCAATCCAGCAATATCAGCCAGAGGAAAGGCACAAAGATGCCTTTCCCAACCCAACTGGGTTGTGCCAGCTCCCAGTCACAAGGCCAAGCCTTTGCTGGAAACCTCAAAATTGGGATGAAATGAAACTTTAGGAAATGAATTGCGCCTCCATCCCTTACTCCTTTTAGTTTTAAATTAAGAAAAAATTGAAATTAAAAGCTAATTAAAGACACAAAATTAAAAACATATTATTTCCCAAAATTGCTTTGATGATTTAAAAAAAAATAAATTTATTTATTTTATCAAGAAGTTGACAGGTCTGCAAGGAGTCTGTCCCAAATGGATGGGAGTTCCTGGCCACGTAGAGGAGGCACAAGGAGATTGGGAATATTTCCTAAGGACACGAGGGAAACCTGAGTCAGTGCCAGTAAGTCACAAATCTTCATTCAACCTTACTACACTCAGCATCTGTTCAGGTGCTCCAAGGGGAGCCTTGAAAATCTGGGAAACACCCTCAGTTTTGGGCAATGTGTTCTGGTGGTGCCATCACATCCAGGCAGGCTATTCCTCAAGAGTGTGAAATGGAATAAACATGGACAGAGGAAGATTTGAGAGTTCCACCCTTCATCTTTGCTCTTGTTACAACCTGAGGAGTACAGTAAAGAATATGAGAAGATTTAGAAGATGAAAAAGGGTTGAGAAGCTCATGAGTACCATTCAGGCCTTCCAAAACCCTTTAATTTGCTATTCAGATTACCACTTTTTATAGTTTAATATGTACAATATGCAAAGGAACCAGTTTAACTAAATGGGAAAAGCCTTCTGTGTTAAGGTTGAACGTAATCTAATAGGGCCCTTTGACTTGATTCAATTAAATCCTTCTTTTTCCAATTAAATAATCATCCAGAATTTAATAAAAATGAATTTCCATGTGTCATCCTGCAGAATGATGACCTCTGTGATGGGGAAGGCTTATGTAAATTCTGCTGATCGCTTTTTATCTGCCTCTGCTTCACTTCCTCCAAAAAAAATTGCCTTCTGTCTGTATATTTACATTAATTTCTCATCTGCTCCATGTATCTGTGTTTGCAGGAACAATTCCCAGCTGAAAGAGCTGTGAGTATCACCAGTACATCCTCAGAAATGGACCCTCTGTGATGGGAAAAAGATCTCCAAAGTGGGATTTTTGATCTGTGCCTCAGGTTTGTTGTGCCCTGGCATGCTGTAGGGCCAGCTTCCAATTGGCCCCTTCCAGATATCACCAGGGGCATCTGTATGGCTGTTTATCACCAAGAAAATCCAGTCTAAGAGGCCAGCAACTTCAGCAGCAATCCCCAGGAAAAGCACAGCGTGGCCCACATTCCACAGTCTCTTCCAGCACATCTCCACTAAATAATTCCCATCAGAGCTACAGCAGTTGTTATTATCTATTCTTTTTTCCCCCTCTGCAAAGGTGTATTTATAATTGCATTTTACCCCCCTCTCACTCATAAAATATGGAGCACCAACTCCTTCCTTCCTCAGCTTCCTCAGCAGCATCTTTATGCAAACCTTGCTGATGTGGTACTGCTGTAACAACTTATTAGTTATTAAAACTAATAGCTTTAAGTTATTAAAATGCATAACTCAGTTATAGTTACTAACTAAGTTGTTAAAACTGAATTAAACAGAGCTAAGGATGGACAGGTTAAAAATTTGAGTGAATATTCTGTTTCTCCCCTTGCCACATTTCCCCATCTCTCTTTCTGTGCGGGTAAAATGGTCTTGGCGACCTTCCTGTGCTGCACATCCCTGGGGACCATGAAAACAAACCCATTAATGTTTATAAAGTGTCTCAGACTGGGGGAATTACATCATTGTGGCGAGATACAAGCTTAATGGATCAAAACAAACCTCAGCTCCAAACCCCCCAGCTTAGACACATCTCAGTTACCCGGCACAAACCTCAAGGAATCCCACTGAGAAGGGATAATTGAGAGAAAAATGTGATCCCAGAGATTTTTCTGCAGTAAACCCATTTTATGTTAATAGAAAGCAGATTTCTAGACCCCTTTGCAAACGAATGACTTCCACAGCATATTTCACAGCTGAGCGCATCCATGGCACCAGCTTTGGACACGGGGCTATTAAACCCAACATTTGTTTAATGAATTACAGCAGTCCATGGATCTGTGTGTGCTCAGCCCGTGTTTAAATGTTTATTGGGAAGACGTCAGCAGCCAGCTCTGCATGAGCAGGTATCAGCCTCAACGATGAGCTCTCGCTGCAATGGATCCAAATCTTTGAACATGTTTTGGGTTCTGCTTTCTTATCCAAGACAGATATCCCAGGAGGTTCAGGATCTCTGCTAAACATAAAATCATTTGGGTTCAGTGGAAGTTTGGGGTGTTTTCTCCTTGATGATGAACTGTGTGAGAGAGACAAGCTGTTGTGCATCTCCCACCTGCCTGGGGTTGGTGCATGTGACTGAACAGTGGATTAATCCATTAAAACTCACACATTCAAGCAAGGTTGATGTGCTGCAGCCGTTTCCAAGCTGACCCCACTCTCACTTCACCAATCAATCTATAAACCTTGACAAAAAAATTAACTCTGGTTCACCCTCCTATTTTAACACATTCTCCACTGCAAACTATGTGTGAAGTGCTACCTTTCATGGTAGATAGAGACAGTAGTGATGATGTGCTGTGATCACTTCGCTTTCCTGCAAAATGCCTCTGATTTATGGTGGTCTCCACTCCAGAGATCCCCACTCAGGAGCAGTTTCAGAGTCACTGACTGCTTTGGGCTGGAAGAGACTCTAAGAACCATCTCATTCCCCCCTCTGCCATGGCAGGGACACTTCCACTATCCCAGCCGGATCCAAGCCCTGTCCAGCCTGGCCTTGGGCACTGCCAGGGATCCAGGGGCAGCCACAGCTTCTCTGTGCCAGCGCCTCACCACCCTCACAGTTAAGAATTTCTTCCTCGTATCCACTCTATCCCTGCCCTCTGCCAGTGGGAAGCCGTTCCCCCTTGTTCTGTCATTTCAGGTGAAGTCTGACTGAAATGCCATTTCCCCTCCTTTCCCCATCAGCAAAGATGTTGGGCTTTTTCAGAACTGCCAAGGTGATTTGAGAGATCAGGTCCCGCTGATCCCCCAAGACTTCCCTGTCCCTTGGGAAGGTGAGAACGGGGACTGTGGAGACATTATCTTTGCATCCTGAATTTACCTCCTGTTCTGTTGAGACCAGGATCATGTGGGAACTTCAATGAACAGTGAGAATGTGAAACGCTCAGCTAGCAGGATAATGTGTGCAGTGAAAAAAATCCTGTGATCAATCAGCAGACAAAGATCTACTTAAATGAGGTGTTAGTGGGAAAGATGCAGGAAAGGTGATTATGGGTTTGTCTCCGTGTTTCCCTCAGCAACAATGCTGACACAACGGGGTGGGTCACCCTACCCTGTCATTAATGGAGCATCAGCATTCATCTGACAGCTCCTTTGTCCTGGGAAGTCAATTCCGATGAAGATTTGACATTAGCAGAGGCACGGTGAAACTCAGAACCTTTGTATTTTCATGACCCTCCAAATGCTTTAACCTGATGGATTACAGGTAAAATCACTGTCCTAATTTGGGCAGGAGGCAGAAATAAATATTTGTACTCATCTGTTTCAACTGTGGCAATAAACATCACGGGCAGAGCCAGTGGAAGAGCAGCCCTTTGCTCCCTTCCCAGAAAACAAAACTTGGAACAGGGGCCACAGGGCAGAGCACATGGGAAAGGTCAGCTGGAACATCAGAGAAATGTGATTTTTTTTTTTTTTTATTGCAGTATTTGTCAAGTAACTGAAAGACAAGATCTCTTCAGCCCTCTAAAATAATTCTAAACTAAATTCAGAAATGGAGAACTCCAGATTGTAACAGAGAGGGATTTTAACATGCACAGCACTGTCCCCCACTGGCACCCAGCAGGCAGGGAGCACATCCACAAAATTCCCACGGGTGTTTCAGGGACAAAACAGCTCAATCCAGACAAGAGTGAAACTTAATTTAGTCCTTCCCTTTTCTTTCAGGTGAAAGGACACACGTTCTGCTCCAAGAGCCATCAGCCTCCCTTGTTCTGTCAGTGGCACCAGCCCTGGGTCACACCTGGTTTGGGGATCACCCAAACCAGCCTCTTTCACAACAACAGAATGTGCTGGGGGTGTGGAACAATAAAAATAGCCTTCCCCTCCCCCTGCCTCTATTTTCCCTGGTTTTATCCAAAATGCTACCAGCAGAGTGGACTAATCCTGCATTGCACACAAACCTATAATTACATTCCCCACTGACCTGTGAAAGACCTAAAAATACACCTAGATAAAGTTTCAGCATTGAGAAGGCAGCTGAAAATTTGGCATTATATTTCTATATATCCGTATTAGTTTAATTACAGTCATGTTTTAAGGTGTCAGTATGGATCCCTTGATTCTGTGAATTTGGGGCTTGGAGTGCACTGATGTCCATTTCTTTAAAGGTTAACAGAGGTTGGCTACTCTGCTAAAAATAGCACTTTTCCAGGAGTGAGAGAAATCCCCCTGCAGCAGATAATTCCCAAGTGTTCTTTTTCTTGGGCTAGGTAGGAGGATACTGCAGGTATCATCTCAGGGGATGGGGACACTGAGGAGCAGCTGGGCTGGAGCAGAGTGTGACCAAGGTCCAGTGGGAGAGGGCACCTGCAGCCCATGAAACATCCAGGCTTTCCAGTTAAATCAGGAGCAATTCCTTATCTCACCATGGTTTATCCTAAAGGAACACCCAGCTAGGGAAGGGCAGGGAACACGTGTCTTCTAATAAAGTCTGTTTAACTTTGACATAGATTACTTCTAAAAAACCCCATCAAACCACACCAAATACACCAATGTGATAAAGTATCTCGGTACAAAATCAATTCCAAGGTGATTATCAGCCTCTGAAAAATTTGGGCTCTAAGTCAGTTCATGGCAGGGATCAAATTGAGCTGCTGTCAACTCATTTGGACATTTTACTTTGCTTCTGATATCTGACAGTTAAAATAATCTCAGATAGTTCCCATTACTCCTGCGTTTTCTGCTTTTTTTGCCTCAGGGAAGGGCCATGCAGCCAGGCTCCATCCCAGCCACCTCCCAGCCTGCAGCATCACTTCCAGCCGTGGCTGGGGAATCCAGGCTGGGGAAAAATGGTAGATAAGGCTGATCAGCTGTGAGCTGCCACAGCCAGACCCAGGCTGAGCCCCAGCTGATCTCCAGCTGCTGCTGGGAGCAATCTGTGCTCCCACATGGGCTGCACTGGTCACCAGCTGGAATGCCAGGGGAGCTCAGTCCTCTTGGAGAGAAGGCTTGAAGCATTATCTTCTGCTAATGCAGGTGAGGCTTATTAATATTGTTTATATTAATAGCTTTTCATGAAAATGGGGAAGTTTTCTCCGGAGAACAGGGAGATGCCCTCAAATGATGGCTTGGTGGAGCAAGAGGGAGCCAGGAAAAAGCTGATTTTCTTATTATAGAATCATAGAGTGGTTTGAACTGGAGGGACTGTAAAGTCCTTTAGAGGGATCTTAAAGCTTATTTGCCATGGGCAGAGACATCTTCCACTATCCCAGGGTGCTCCAAGCCCCATCCAGCCTGGCCTTGGACACTTCCAGGGATCCAGGGGCAGCCACAGCTGCTCTGGGCACCCTGTGCCAGGGCCTGCCCACCTTCCCAGGGAAGGGTGGAGAGGGATCACTCTGAGTGGTCTCAGAGAAAGCCAGGGCAGATATGTAAAGCCTCCCTCTCACAAAGGCTAAATTAATAATATTTTTCTAAAAGCACTGCTGGATGAATTCCTTAGAAAAATCAAAGCATGTTTGGGGCTCCAGTGGATGCAGGAGGTTCTGTGGGCACCAGCATCTCCATCACCCCAAAGTCTTCAGGACAAGAAGCTGCCAGGATTGTTGACATAGGGATTTTAAGAAGGTGATGGATATAAAACCCACCAAAGGCAATTAAACCAAGCAGGACCACTGCCAAGTTCTTGTGTTTGCTCACTGTCAGTAGGTTTTATGGAGACAGAGATATATCTGAAAAGCTATTCAAGTGCATTTAATTTTTCCAATACCCACTTACTGCAGCTTGTATGAGGATAATATGTTTATCCCAAAAGGTTCCTGACTTCATTCTGCAGTACTTGACTCCAGGGTGGGTTTTGTATTATTAACTTCCTTCCAGTACACATGGAAAATAAAACCTGTTCCCATTGAACACCCCGGGATGAAGTTTTGCTGGGTGTTAAGTGCAGTTTGTCACGGCGCTGGAGGCCCAGGGTGGGACAATGAGCCTGGGAACACCTGGGGCCTCAGACCTGGTGGAGCTGAGGTGTGGGGAATGTGGGGCTGGAGGGGGGAGCTTGCTCTGACACAGCAGAAGACAAATGGAAAAGGGGAAAAGATACCAATCTATCTAGAAGGTTTTAGGGAGAAATTCTGGCTGTGAGGATGGTGAAACCCTGGCACAGGGAGCCCAGAGCAGCTGTGGAGGTGTCCAAGGCCAGGCTGGACAGGGCTGGAGCAGCCTGGGACAGTGGAAGGTGTCCCTGCCATGGCAGGGGTGGCACTGGATGAGCTTTAAGATCCCTTTCAGCCCAAACCATTCTGTGATAAAACCCATGCAACGAGAGGGGGTGATGCTCCATCCCTCATGCCTCACACCCCTCACTATCCAAAAGCTCTTGATAAACATGAGAAATTACTTAGGACTCTTTTGCTGATATTTTTTGCCTTCTGATGCCACCTCATGAAAGTAATGGTTCATAATCTGCACCAGAGCAGCTTGACTCAAGATAAAGATCTGCCTCATTTGCAGTTACATAATTAGCAATTACCCTAATTTCACTTACACTAAATTACATTTTTTAAAAAATAAATGTTATCTTTTCTGACAAAAAAAAAAAAAAAAATCATTCTGGGTCTACTTCAGAATTTTTTATATAAAGCAGAAGTATCATTACCCTGTTCTCAGATGTACTGTCTAGACACTTTTAATGAAAATATTCATTATTGCTAATTTGCATCTCTTTCAATTCCAGGACAGAAATCAAATGAAGATGTCAAAACTGTGCTGCCTCTGCCTCAGGCAAAACGGAGCCACGGTGACCCCCAAGTCCTTCCAAAGGGGATCTCAGTTTGTGTGAAGGAAAAACATCTCCAGCATCCTCATAACTGAGGGCAGCACAAGATGAAAGTTTAGCAGGGAAAATCAGAGGAAAATAATGGTGTCAGGATCTGGATCTGAGATCTGCAGCTTTAAAGGAGGGAAAAACCAGGGAGATCCCAGCCTTAGGGTGCAAGATGTGTTGAAATACAGATGTAAATCAGGGCAGTGGTAACTCACGTGGGTTCAGTAGTGACATTTCCTGAAGATAAAGCACATTTTAAATGTACTTTGTACTTGCTGGTAACAAAATTTCCATTAGTACAAGAAAATACATATTATACCTCAAACACACTTCACTGAGCTTGGAGAGTAAAGATAAAATAATCTTTTTATAGCAAATAGGAATGAATACTTAAAAATAATAAAAAGTTGGTGAATATTCATTTGAACTCTTAAGCAAATTTGCCCTTGTCATATTTGCATCCCTCTTGTGTTCTCTTTCTGTGCAATGAAGTTTTATTAGCATGAACATCCACAGAAAGTGAATGTGAAGACTCAATACCCATGGGAAATGAATTTAAAATTCACTTGCTTTGTGCAGTCACCCAAGAAACTTGATCATAATTGTTTATTGTACTTAAATATTTATATTGTTGAAGCACTTGTTAGATAAAAAGGCTGTGATGCTCCTCTGCTGGGTGATGTTCAAACACTGGCCCAGGCTACAGGAATCACCTCCATCCCCAGCAAACACACAGCTGGGACAGGTTTCTCCAGCCTGGCTGATGTGGCAGGTGGCAAATTTCAAGGTCAACAACAATAATTGGGTGAAAAATCAAAAAACTTCTCTTAATTTTTCTTGGCATATTGAGTGGACCCACGAATGGCACCACCTCCCATGGGTGTGTTCACACAGGGTGCTTGAAATGGAGTCAGAAATTAAACTTCATCAGGAATATAATTTTAAGCTTTTTCACTGCCTGCAGTCCTCTGGCACAGAAACAAAAAGTTTCTCTTAATTTTTCTTAGCATGTTGAGTTGGACCCATGAACGGCACCACCTCCCATGGGTGTGTTCACACAGGGTGCTTGAAATGGAGTAAAAAAATTAGAGTTCATCAGGAACATCATTTTAAGCTTTTCCACTGCCTGCAGTCCTCTGGCACAGACTCCATCCCAGCTCTGAGCTTGATTCCAGCAGTGCCTTCAGGCCTCACAATGGACCCTTCATTCCCTCCCTCCCTTGCCCTCCTCCCCATCTGCATCTCCCAGAGCTCCAGGAGCTGCACCCACGGCCCTGCCTCCCCCAGCAGATTCCATTCCTGAGCAGGAATCCCATCCCTGAGCAGTTAACACCTTCCCAGCCCTCCGTGGCAGCTGTGCAGGGCAGTGCAGCTCCCAGCTCATCCAAAAACTCCTCTGGGTTTTTTTTGGAAGGGGTGGGCAGCATTTCTGCAATAGGGACACCCTGTTTTGCTTGGTCTCCTAGCACCCCGCAAATCTGTGCCCCATGCTGCCCCTGCTTGATCCAGCATTGTCTGGCCACACTTCCAGACCAATCCTCACTAAATCATTTTTCTCTGTTACCTGCCTCAGCCTGGAACTCAAAAAGGGATCAAAATTTTTATGGTTATGGAGGAATAACTTCAAGGTCAAACCCCTGCTGGGAGTGGGGCAGGAATTTACACCTTGCACCACGGACTGTAGCAGAAATAGTCAACTATTAAGGACTGGGGAATGAAATAAACCCTGAAATTGAGGCTCAAGTTATGACAATAAGGATGCACAGGAGAGAAAATTGCATTAGGACATGCACTGTTTGTACACATTCCCCTTAATCTGGATTCAGTGATGGGAGGAGGGGATTTGGAATCACCCCTCAGAGCAGGTTCAGGTCTCCATCAGCTTCTTACACACCACCGTGCCTTTTAATTATCACCCACCACAGTCAGATGAGGGTTGCCTGTGTCAATTTGCATTGTTACCCACCCCGGTGCAGCAGCTCCCTGCTCCCCAGTGGAGGCAGCAGGTGGCATTGGCAAGGTAATTACACACCGTCACTAATTAGCAACAATTTCAGTTGCCCCAAAGATGCTTGCAAGATCAGATACCGAATTTCATGGCATCTCCCTCAAACACAGGCCACCCAGGGGATGGTGGTGTGGAAGGGGGAAGATGCAATAGGGAATGTGAGGAGGAGGAGAGGAGCCTGACGAGGCAAACCAGGAGCTGTCGCTGGCACTGCTGAGGGAAGGGGCAGTGCTACTCCAGATTATTTCCAAAAGCTTGAGCTGCATGGGAATGACATTTGAAATCCAGAGGGTTGGAAAGGGAAAGAGGAAGGAATGGGAGCTGTGGATGAGCCCTTGCATGAGGGGATAAGAGGGCTGCATTGCTGCACAGAGCACCCTCACAATGGGGGAAAAACAGAGAGCCCCTGTGCCCAGAGAGCCCCAGGGCTGGAGAGGGGGAGCACACACAGCACTGCAATACACACATACCCCATTTAAATCATCCTTTATCAAATAATAAATTAAGAAGAGATGCTAAGTGCTGTGAGCAGGGTCTCCCTGCATGGCCAAACCTTTCCACCCTGATGGCAGAAGATGCCACATGTCACAGGAGCAAGATGGGTGATGAAAAGAGAATGAAGGGCATAAACACAATACTTGGTGCAACCCCACACTCACTACTACACGAAAATGCGAGAGCCAAATGGGGTGAAAACACCTTTTCCAAGACAAAATTTTGTTGGCTGCAGAGGAAGTCAAAGTTGGCTTTTACAGTTTGAAGTGGTTAACAATTTGGTTTCTTTAAACCAGGGAATTAATGGCACTGAACTTCACAACAACAACAAAAAATTAAAGGCGCCCCAAAGAATGTTCTCTTAATTGTAGCAGCCCGCTGCATTAAAGCTGCTATAGGAAAATTCATTTACAATTCAGCTATTAAATTGCAAGCCATTACCACTGCTTTTACGGCTTTATATCCCTCTCACAAATTTATTGTGTAATTACTCGGAGCAACAGGATGGTTTCTAGCAAGTGAAGCTGAAATAAGGCACACATTCCAAAATCCTCACAATTCTGCCTTTTCCAGATGAAATTTATGCAAAAGAGGCAAAACGTTCCAGGCAGTTTTCTGCCTGGGATTTGGGGCCATTTGAGGATGGAGCCTTGGCTGGTATAAAGGTGGGATGGGAGTGACCACCCCAACAACTGCCATCTCTCTCTGTAGGAAATGAAATTGCTTTGGAGCTGTTGGGACTTGCTCCTATGGATCTCTGCAGCAGCAGAGCTGGGACTTCAGGACATGGAATTTTCCCACCTCCTGGGGGCTCAGACAACTCCCGCCAAACCACTGCTTATGAAATAAATCACCAAAAAAAAAAAATTAAAATGGCATTTTCTGCCCCTCATTTTCCACCCCAGTGAAAGAAAATTGTAAATAAATAAATAAACAAACAAATTCTTGGGCACCATGAAAAAAAAAAATTGCATAAAGGGGCATTAAGCAGGACAGGCATTTCCCGGGTAGAATGACTGGATTATTGTTGGAAGATGCAAATAAATTCACATCATGTGCCTCTCTTATTCCCCTCCTTTTCCTTTTTGTACCATCCCTCATCCAAAGGAGAAGATAACCTCTGTATCCAGCTCAGGAATCTCGTGAGCAGATTAAAGACCTGATTATGCTGGATTTGGGGGAGCTGCCTAATGTCCAACCTGAATGCATCACTACAAACCCTGGCAGTAAACACTCAGGAGCCCCCAGACAGTTCAACCACTGTGCTGGTCACAGCCATGGCTATGAAACCATTTTCTTGGAAGCAATTCCCTTCTCCCACGGGGTTTTGTTCTATCCTGAGGTACCAGGTTTCTCACCTCTGCCTCATTACCTGCAATCCTACCTGGAAGCTCACTGCAGGCACATGCCCTTAGGGATGCACTGAAATAGGCACTGCAGTGCTTGGCTCAGCTGGGCCCTGAGGATTTCATACAGCTCCAAAATAGGGGAGGTAAATGAATAAGACCTCTTTTTAAAAAATATATAAATACCCTTTTTATTTATATAAAAATACCCTTATTTTTGATAATATTTTAATTATCATTACACTATCAGCTTAATTTTTTTTTTCAGTTTTGTAAAGGAAGCTCTTTGGGGGTACCAAGGACCAGTAAATGGAGAGAGAAGGCAAAGCAAACGGAGCAGAATTCCCAGCCCATCCCACACTGCTGCTGCTGGCTGCAGGGGAGATGGACACGGTGTCCCTGCAGTTCATACATCCCAAAGCACAGAGAACAGTTTAGTTATGCAGGAGGCATTTCCCCAGGCTGGCAGCGGGCAGGGGCTGGAACCAGATGATCTCTGAGGTCCCTTCCAACCAAAGCCATTCTGGCTCTGTGAAAGGCTGAACGGCCCAAACCTCCTCCCCTGCACCCCTGGGTCAGAGCCACTCCCGGTTTCTGCTGCTGCTAACTTTGTGGAACAATTTACAATTTATTCCAAATGTTTGCTGTGGGTACCATGACACAATCCCCGAGGCCAAACACCAGCACAGCAGCCTCCTCTCCCCAGTAAAGATGAATCCCTGCAAGGAGAGGGGGAAGGAGCTGACAAACCAGGATAATTTATTCTGCTGAGCCCAGAGCCTGCCAAGTCAGCTCAGTCTGGCACGGGATAGGCTTAGAGGAACAGCCAGGCTGGGATTTGCAGAGAGGAGGAGGAGTCTGAGTGAATCAGATACCCAAATCTCGCTGGATTCAGCAGGAACTGGCTATTCAGCCAGTTTGGGATTGTTTTCCTTCTCGGCTTTTCTGTTCGCTTGAGTGCCGCTAAATCGTGTGGGTGATCAGTGGAGGAGGGGTTCAGTTTAAAAGGGGATTTTGGGTAAAGCTAATGAGTGGTAAGATAATTGTGAAGAAAGACACAGGGGGAGAAAAACCACCACCATCTAAATTTCCAATGGGAATTGCACTTTGGCAGCCACTGCTGGCCAAGGGAGGGACAAGACCTGCACACACCCAGTGCCTGACCCACTGCTCTGCTGTGGTGTGTTCCCAGCTCCTCTGGAGGAATTCAGCAACCAACAATCATCACGGAATCATTTAGGTTGGGAATGCCCTCTAAGATCATCCACTTCCACCACTGACCCAGCAGTGTCTCGAGCACCTCTAAACTTTGTCCCCAAGTGTGACATCCACTGATTTTTGAACACTTTAAGGGATGGTGAATCCACTTCCCTGGGCAGCCTGTTCTCATCCTGACCATCCTTTCAGTGCAGAAACTTCCCCACCTTGCCCAAGACAGACAATTCAGGAAGGATGGCAATGGCCTGAGGATGGGGATTGGGTGGATAAAGTGCATTAATGATGAGAAATTGCTTCTCTGCTCCCTGCAGGCACCCAGATCTTCACCACAGAAGGGAGAAGAGATGCCAGCTGGGTGA